CAAAAAAAAAAGATTAAAAGACACAAAACATAGAAGAATAAACTTCTTAAGTTCTTTCAAAATATCTTGGGTTTAGGTCACAAAAAAAAACATTTGTGGTGACCTGCACTACATTTTGGTTGTGGGATCCTTCTGCCATGTGTGCCCACACTTCAAACAACCCTGGGCTTCCTGTACTGCTGATGGAGGAAGAGTTTGGAGGACGGATTAGTTCACCCTAGGGTGAAGGCCAGCCTTTGGTTGGGTGAATATTTTCCTAAACTAACTGTACTGAGCCAATATCTATTGATTTTTAAGAATGAAGACAATTAGTTCACGTGGAAATGCCTGCACTGCAGATAGTTGAAGTTAGACAAGTTTGTCTTAAAATTACTATGACAACAAGAAGTTATGTGAACACATTGCCACAATATAGAACAAATAAACTCCTACTATATGTTTTTGGAGCTGTTTAGAGCTACTCCCCTTCTCTGCTACAGGAAGCAAAGAGGCCTTATTTTGGCCCTCCATGTTGTTCCTTCTTAATCTCCTATACTTATAACTGCTGCCAATTTTACTAGAAGATGGATGTCGTCTGAGAGATTCTCTGCTCCTTGTAATAAACCTGTTGACCAAGAAAACTAGCGGGGTCCTGGATGCCCTTTCTTTTGGGCAAAGCAAGCTGGCAGGTTTCTTCCTGGCTGTCCCCATATAGCCCAGGCAGGAAGTTAACTTTCACTATTGGCAGCACCAAATGTTCAAAACTCAGCTGCCAGACTTCTGAAATGATGAAATTAGGTTAAAATGGAGAAGATTAAAAATAACAGTCTGCAAGGTTCTTTTTTTCATTGACTTCTGAGCTAAAGGAAGGATTTGACTTGTCAAATATTTCTTTAGACCCAGCTTTTAAAAATATATGTGAGATTTCTACCCAGCTATAAGTGTAGTTTCCAGAAGACTGCAGGCATCGTGGGTCTTGTAACGTATTTGTGAAAATCTGGAAAATAGAGAGTTATGATGATTGTGATATGCATCGGCTTAAAAAAATACCATCTTCCTAAACAAGGAAAAGAAGCAACGTAGTAGAAAAGTTATCAAATGACAAATCCTTGGTTAGCATGGCCAACAAATCAGAGGAAGGACCCAGTGCCCACAAGTCTTATGAGAAGCGGCTGAGGGAAGTGTGGTTGTTTAGTCTGGAGACAAGAAGGCTGAGGGGAAAACTTTTGGTTCTCTACAACTACCTGAAAGGAGGTTGTAGCGAGGTGGGTGTTGGTTCACTTTCCCCAAGTAACAAGTGACAGGACGAGAGGAAATGGCCTCAAGTTGCACCAGGGGAGGTTTAGGTTGGATATTAGGAAAATTCTTCACCAAAAGGGTTGTCAAGCATTAGAACAGACTGCCCAGGGCAGTGGTAGGGTCCCAGTCCCTGGAGGGATTTAAAAGATGTGGAGATGTGGTGCTTAGGGACATGGTTTAGTGGTGGACTTGGCAGTGTTAAGTTTATGGTTGGACTCCATGGTCTTAAAGGTCTTTTCCAACCAAACCAATTCTATGATTCTACGATTCTATATTGAAAAACTACTGTAGATGTAAAATTGAAGTTTGGAGGGTTTACTTCTTTGGCCCTGCACTTTTCCACACAAGTCTGCAGCTTTTTGCATTTGCATCTCTGGGAATGAAATTTCCACCTCGCTCCACACATATGTATGTTGTTTATGAGCACAGATGATTACTGGCCTTCCAATTCGGTTGGGGAATCTGGTGTTGTTTTCAGCCAAGGACTTGAAGAATCTATGGGAAGTGAAAATTAATTGTTTCCACTAGTAAGATGATGTCTTGTGGTTCTTGGAATCTTTTTATTGTTTTTGATGAACGTGTCATAGTCACATTTCTGTGTTAAGAAAAAGGACATGAGAACTCATGCTGATAGACTTAACTGACTGAATGATATCAAATATCAACTGCCTCATTTTCTTGCTAGAGGGCTGCAGTTTAGCTGGCAGAATGGAGAGGAATTGGCAAATTGGACCGGCACCTTTAATTTCACGGATGACGGAGCAGTGAAGAGTGGCAGTGACACAGGCACCAGGTACCAACACCCGAGGGAATGACTACAGAGTTCTCTCTCTCTTTGTACTAACTACAACTGTGAGCACAAGCTGTATGAAAAATGAGATTTGTAGTTTGCTTTGGCTGCTTAGTACTGCTCCCCATGGCACAGAAGATGCCATGAATGCCCAAGTGTTGTGCTGTTTTCTCCCTTTGAGGCGTTGGGGTCATTTTGGAATATGCCATAAGCATCCATGCAGCATGCAGGAGGGTGACTTCTGTGTCCTGGTCTCTCCTATTTCCAATGCTATGTGTCAATAAGTGGCAGTAAGGGAGGGTGGGACTTTGGTGGGCAATGTCCCAACATGACAGTATTGATACATGCAGAGCACACTGGAAAATCTGGTGCAAGGCTTTCTTTATAATAGAATATGTATTCTAAGAAAACATAGTTTAAATTGAAATCTTTCCAGGATCAGGTAGGGCAGAATTGTTCTGTCAAGATAAGGCTGGAGTATTTTCTTTGTTTACAATGTTTTGAAAATATGAAAAGCACTGATGTGCTGTAGCAGGTTTTGCATTCTTATTAATTTTTAGTAAGATCCTTTTGACTGACACTTATCTGAAGGGTCATGAAGAGCCATGTGCATAGTCAGGAAACTGGCTACAGTTGTGACTAAAGAGCTCCATAGCTATTGAAGGCCATCTATGTAAATCTGGGAACCTCAATTGTAGAGGTTAAATATCCTGAGTCTTGTGTAATGTAAAGTTTAATAAATAGCAGGGACATCTTAGAAATACTGTAAGTTAAATAAAAAATAAAATAAATAAAAGAAAAGCAGCTTGCACTTAATACTGATGTAGAAAAAAACCTCTCTCTGGATAAATTACATATTTTGTTTAAAATATTGTCAAAGTATATTTTGTTAACCATACACCAGTACAGCTGTGGAGCTGATAGCATTTCAAAGGCAAGCGGAAGTACAGAGTCTGACCTGCCAAAAATCATCCAATGAACCGCAGCAATGCGGTTCATAATTCCTGTTATGGCTCTTTGCTGTAATGTGATCCAGTTTGAGTGTTACCTGCCACTGGGCTGGTTTAACTACTTAAGGTTCTTTATAAAAAGAACCAGCTTAAGCTGCAGTTTTTTGCTCAGAGCAAGTTAAAAATGGTTCATTCTATGTATGTATGTATGTTGGTATCTATCCATTTATCTATCTATTTGTCTGTCTGTCTATCTCTACTTTTACTGCCATGTTTGGCAGTAAAATGCCAATGCAGATGCATGTATGCATCTACAGTGTGTATATACAGTCTTCAGTTTAGGCATTTGGCACAACAAAGAACTGAATGTGGCACAAAGACATCTTCTTGAAGACATGAGAGAATTAATAAATGTAGATTTCCCCCTCTGGGCACCCTTGACAGAGAAAACTGAATCATCATTGATTGCAGGACAGGAAAACAAAAACCTTGACTGCAAAATACATCCTAGTTTTGAGGCACTGAACCACAGTACTGTTCTCAAGCTGTTTAGCCCCTTCAAAGACCAAGATGTTCAGGATGCAAGTGCTGTTTTTTATACAAACAAGCTCAAACTACACAAGCTAGGTGTGAATTTCAAAGTTTATAATATCAATAAAAGGTGCAAATTTCTAAGTCTTCATCGTGTTAATGACTGTGGAGCTGAAAGATGGGGATTTTGAGTTAGTTATGTTGTCTAGCTGCAACATATATTGCATATAAGTATGTTAGAGATATTATTTATCCATTTGTCTACAAAGCTGAGAATACAGCAAAATAAAAAAGAACTGCATACATGTGGAGGTGAGACTGGATGTGAGACTGTGTGGTGAGTAACTGCAGAGTTATGTCATAAATTGTATACTGTTTAACTTTGATCACCTTTCTTACTGTGTCACCACTAGACATCTCCCAAGAGTCTTAATCTGACACCCAACTTCAGGCTGTTGATATCAATTATATCAAGCCTTCCTCTAAGGAATAAATTTTTCCACCAAATGGAAAACTTGCAGACTACATTTTAGCAACCTAATTTTACTTGTATATATTTACAGGTCTCCAGTGAGATGTCTAAAGTGCAAAAACCTAATTATGTGTCTGTATACGCACAGTAAATACATTTCACTGTGTCGCTCTACAGTTTCTTGTGTGTTATCACCTCCTTGTGAAAGGTTGGGTGTTTAAAGATTTAAACTGAAATAGATAATATTATGCTTTTCATTATCATTTATAAATCTATATGTATATAGATACACGTTTATTCACACTTACGTGGTATCAACACATGTATATTCTATAACTACTCTGTATCTTTTAATCATGTAACTTAATACATGGTGTAGAGACATTGACAATTCATCCTGTGGGAGTGATTTATTAGATGAAAATGAAGGACTTCTAAAGCAAAGGCACATTGAGAGAATAAGTGAGTTAGTACCGCCAGACAAGACTTCACAAAAATGGTGGCCATATCAAAACCAATGCACAGTGAAGACTAAACATTGCTTGAAAATGTTCAAGTAGGACAGAAATGAAGAATGTAATGTTATCTGATTTCAGCAGAAACTGATTCAGACCTTAAGTGATGTATGAAGTTAAAGGGTGGCTTGCCATTGGCATATTTTTTTACTGTCCAGGGGAGCTTATTACACAATTTCAGAAAATAAGCCCTACTTTGTCTGCTGACAGCTCCACTGTGCCAAAGTCACCAAGCTAACCAAATCTTTTCATCCCAGTGCATAAGGGATGAAAAGATGACTTCTTCAGATTGCGTAGAACTTGGCATGGAGATAAAAACTAGTATCATCAGCTTGACTCAGTATGTGGTACAACTGAGAGTGTGGATCATGCTGATTGTTAGATCTGGAGAATCTAATATTGCTGTGGGTTGATGCCCAACAGAGATCTCTATTTGCTGGGGCTTATTGGGCACCAAAAGCTTCATTTTGATGCATATTGCATTGCTGCAGGTCTTCTAGCAAGAAGTAAAAATGAAACGTTCAACAAATCCTCAAAACAAATCCCCTGGAAGTGTTCTCGGCCAGGTTGGATGAGGCTTTGAGCAACCTGGTCTAGTGGAAGGTGTCCCTGCTGCTGGTAGGGGGGTTGGAACTGGATGAGCTTTAAGGTCCCTCCCAACCCAAACCATTCTATGATTCTATGATTCTATAAAACCATAGGGATGTGTACTTTCAGCTACAGGGGGACTAGATGAGCTACAGGCTCTTTGACAGTTGGGCTGTGGTGTTATCTGCCACCTTCAGTCCAGTATTCTCCAGTATGACAGATCTGGAGCTTTGTCCCCAGTGGCTACAAAATTGAAAGTATAATCAATTGGATTCATCAAATATACATTTTACAAGAATGAATGTAAGTGCTTGAGTCATCAGACCTCATTGGTCAGGACAGTAGTTGAGGATGCTCCTTAAGTCATAATGCTGAACTTATGCAAAGATACTAAAATCTTGAGAACAACAAGAAAAAAGAAAAGCCATTGCTTGCACTGAAAAACGCAAATGCGATTTTTGAGATGTTATTGATGTGTCAGTGTTGTCATGTGTTTTGTTATGCCTCCTAGGTGGTCATATGGATAACAACATCAGTAGCTTGTTTCAATCAGAGCGATGGGAATGGGCTTGATTAAAACAGCCAAAGAGCAGTTTTATTAGAAATTGGAAGAGTTCTGAAATGACATTGGTAAAATAGAACTCCCTGCAGCATACCCCACGGCTGCTTGTCAGGAGCCACTGTTGTTTTGATACAGTGACTGTGAAAGAGAAGAAACACCAAAGTGTTTCTCCCTAAAACAATACTCTCAATTCAATACACTCTCCAATAAATCATTCTAGGGCTGACAGTACAGTGGGAAAACCTCTAAACAAAGGTACATGGCAGTCGGTGTGAAGACCCAGGAAGCACGGGAGGTAGTGGTGTTGCTTCAGAAGTAAGGTCTGCAAGGTGGGCTAATCCCCTCTGGGTGAACAAACTGCAGGAGGTAGCCAGGATTTTGCTGCATCATTTAGGACTGTTTCTACTTTAGCTCCTGCTGTTACACCCAGAGCTCTTGTAGTAGAGCTGTATTGGGTAGTTTAGGCTCTCTTGGTAAATTAGGCTGAAATTTTGGAGAGATTTGGCTCCCAGATAAGTGGAGATAGGAGAAAGGAACAATGTGGCATTGGCAGGAGTGGGTGTCTGGACAATTCACATTGCTAATGTGGCACTGGGCAGTAGAGCCAAGCAATCCTAAATGATCTGTGGGTTTAGACATGAAGACAGGAGATCCAAATCAGAATGGTAGTGAGCAGCCAATGCCAGTTTTCCAAAAGCTTTCATAGTTGTGATGAAAAACATAACCTCAGGGTATCACACATATCAACTGTACAGATGTGTAAATTGCCTATGAAGTCACAGGACCAGATCAAATAAGGAATCCAGAAAAGGAGCATCTCTGGGATATGACAAATGGAGACATGTGCTTTTCTAAGGTTACTTGGGAGGTACATAGAGCTATCAATGAACACTTTTAAAGGACAGAAATATAAAAGCCAGTCTTCTTCTGTGGAAGATCAAACATATGAATTTAGGGCTGGTTCATGGAAGCACTTTTTAAAGTGAAAATCAGGGCAGAGTGTCTTGGGAAACTGCCCTTGTCCTGGATGGACATTTCTGATGCCATCTGTTATCAAAACCTAGAAAAACTTTTGACACTAGAAAGGGACAAATCTAACCAAACATTTCAAAATATTCTAGGTGGATGATCAGGAGATTTATAAATTAACAGCTTTTATCTCAGCTAAATGAGATTAAATGCACACGAATTCCAGCTTCTGAATTTTGTTTGATTACTCTGTTTTTTCGAGGAAGAAAAACAGCTTTCAACTAAAGATGCCATTTCTATCTTTAGCTTCTGGGCATTGGATACAATTTTTCCTTGCTGTATTGTATTGAAAAGCTTTCTTCCACTAGTAATTTTTTCCTCATGCAGTGTCTCCCTACTCAGTCACCATATGTTTA